CAATTACCATCATCAATACCCGATCATCATTATTGGTTTCTATGCTATAAATCAATAAGAACATTTGCAATAGCCTATGTGCGTATGTCTGCTCGTAATGTTACACAGACTTCATAAAGTTTGTAAAGCACTTTAACTTTGTTAAGAATGTGTGCATCAATGTAGTATCGGCCATGTAATGGTGTCCTATTTCTTGAAAACATTGTTGGTAAACATTAAAGCAACTCACGATAACATTATTATCCACTCCGAATACGACGGTTAAAGACATGAAAAACAAATCAAGTCAGTAGTGCGTAAACAACAAAATTCTTGAAATTTGTTACATAAAATCAAACATTCATAACTCCATAACAGAATGTCGTACGATATAATTTCTTTCTAGAAAATGCAATTCGTCCCCCCAAAATCACAGTCAAGTAGTTATAAATCACCTTATTTTGCCAATTATTGTATGGTTAACGTTCAAACCATTCTACAGGTGTGAGACAACCGATTGTAATAATCCACGATGGGGCGATACTTTGTCTAATTTATCAAAACTATACCTACGTTTGAAAACATTTAGACCTACTACGTTGGATAAATAAACCTGAATGTCTAGGAAAATAACATAGACCTATTGGAAATATTAAAAGCACATAACTTCCTCATGAGCATTACAATTTTACGAAATGACACTTTTGTGTAATTTAGCCCGTAAACCAAACCGTTCATTTCAATCGTCGATATAACAATAGTTCTATACCTGTAATCACCTTTGATTTTTCAACAATCAGAGCTCACGATGGTGTATACAAGTGTGTTAATATAGGGCTTTATTGCAGAATCATGATACTAGGCCAGAGGGTCTCAACTTTATCGCAATAAGGGCTAAAATTGTTCTTTGCCAGGGCAAGAGGACATGGCGCGTAGCGCCATTCGAGTGCCGCAGGTGTGAATCGAGGGAGGTTTGGGAGGGGTGTCGCCCTTCACGAATTAAAAATATTTTGAAATACAGGGCATCTTGGCCTAAGAAAGTTACCCTTGTGTTTGGTAATTTAAAAAAGTCAAAATGTTTTATATCACACAATGGGTCATCGGTAATACAGTATTTCTTTTCTGTTCGCTTCGATAGTTCTTGATTGATTAAATCGCTACAATTTGTTTGGCAATATATAGGCCTAGTGGGAAAAACAGAATGCAAAATTATGAAGGTTAGAAATCAAGGCCCAAACCTAACGGAAAATATTATTTCCGGCTTGTTTGCGGGCATAACGGAGATGGCCCGCGGGCCGCCAGTTGAGAACCCCTGTACTATGCCCTATAAGGCCTGTATCCAGTTTAGATCTCGCAAGGAAACACGAAGACACAAAGCGCTCGTCGGAAACATATGACTTCAATATTTAATTAAATTAAATTTTTAACAGAGAATGTGCAGAACAACCCAGGGATTGCGCCAGGAATTACCCGACGAGAGGTGGGGGGGGGGACTCCCGACGAGAACCTAATGGGCGTGGTCGGGCGTTGCTCACAATCACTCGGAATTGATCCCCAGAAACTATGAAATTTAGGGGTTTCAAAGGCTTATTTCAACGATATTAAGTCTACCAGGGAACAGTTAAATTAGTCTACCAATATGTAAAAAATATCTAATTTTTTTCTCCACACAAAGATGTTCAACATACCATGTGCTGTATAGGCCTATCTGAGCAAATAAAAAACGTTAGACTAATACTAAAATGTACCTCCATGCCCCAAGCAACCTAAATCTCGGTATTATCCTATGAAGAATACTGTATGTTTAAATAATATTAATATAACAAGAAAATCATAGCAAATTTATAAAGGAGTAGGCCTAGGCCTAATTGATCAACACTTACGATTACGATTCTATTAAGATTCAAGTAAACGAATTACTTTACCAGTATACAGGTGATAAATGTAATGTAAACTTCCTGTTTCGTAACGCTACAGGTTAACATTGAGATACATCCGGGGTACTGGCATTAAAATGAACATGTTTTATGTGGTATTATAATTACCCACCTAGACCCAGACATTTGATTGGTTGATTGCGTACCACATGAAATTAGTTATTGTGCCCGTTTCATCGCTCACCGTTGAAATTTTGTTCCATCATCATCATCATCATAATAATAATAATAATAATAATAATAATAATAATAATTCCCATTCCACACACATTCAATCAAACCATTGAACTACACATTTTCAAGCATTTATAATTTACAAGTGATTAACTTTCATTAAAAACACAAGTTAGTTTTTATACTTTTTGCTACGATAATTTAAATGGTTTGAAAGACAACGGCTGAAGTTACAACATGACCAATAATTAAAAATTTAATAACGGTTTAACTATTTAATGTTTTATTATTTGAATTATTATTATTAGTTCAGCACCACAAACAGTATGTATAAGTTCTACTGTTTTCTCTACTCTCTCCGTTCCACGCGCCTCAGGATATTGGTTAAGTAACAATTATTGTTGTGTCTTCTTAATAATGTGATAATAATAATAATAATAATAATAATAATAATAATAATAATAATAATAATAATAATAATAATAATAATAATAATAATAATAATAAATTTTAAAAGCGTCCAGCGTCGGCTGTTTTGAACGGACGTGCAGGAAACTTTGTACACATAAATTAGAGGAGATTTCCAACAAACTTTCTTCGCCCTTTTTTTAAATTTGGACCTCCACTTATGAGGCACGTCGCATGACTGGTGCGGTCGGTTAAGGCAATGTTCTAAAGTACTTAAGGTCGTGGGTTCGAATAATGTATATGTATTAAATATTTTCTTTCCAATTTTAAGAATTTATTTTTGTTCAATTTTATGCATCTTGATTTTAAAATTCCAAATAATTTTTTTTTGTACAAATAAACATTCCATTTATTTAAAAATTTCTATCTTATTAACTCTTTAAATTACCAATTATTCATATACCGTATAACGTATTTAAGCTAGGATATTTTATTATTGGCTAGTATTTGGGGACATACTTAGTATTTGGTACGATAATCATTTGGTACGATCAAACTCGCATCTAAATTCCATTTGTAGTGGTTTTTATCTGGCTAGATAACATTAAAGTAATTATAATATACAGCATATTTATTCAGTGTTGTCAACTTTTTTAAAGTGGAATTGTCACGTCACCTCTGACCTAAGCCTTCCAAGATCAATCAAGGGCCACAAAGAATTAAAATCCAAGATGGTCGCCAAAATCCAAAATGGCCACCGAAAATCACAATTATTAGAGAAATGTAGCATATTATTCGGTTATGTCTATGTTTTCTTCAGTTGATTTGTCACCTGGTACATAAACCATTCAAGATCAATCGAAGGCCACCCAGAAATAGGCCTCAATCCAAAATGACCACCAAAATTCAAAATGGCCTAAAAAAATACAATAAATTCCAGATTTGCAGCTTATTTATTGGTTCCAAATGTTGATGTTTTTTCAGGGAATTTGTCATCTGGGACATAAACCTTTCACGGTCAATCGAGGGCCACCCACAGTTTGGTCTTAAATCTAAGATGGCCACCAAAATCCAAAATGACCTCCAGAATTAACTTAATTCGGTAAATTCCGCCTATTATTTTTCCCTGTTAACGTTTTTAAGTGGATTTTTTTCTGAAACATGTACATTTGAAGTTTAAATTATTATTATTATTATTATTATTATTATTATTAATACATATATAGGCCTATGTATATACATATATATGCTATATATATATTCATATAAATGCATTATATATATTATATGTATATTATATATATTATATATATATTATATATACTATATGTATATTATATATATTATATATATTATATCATAGAGAAAATATCTTCTCTATGATTATATGTATATTATATATATTATATATATATTATATATTTAT